AGTGTAGGGGAGGTGCGTCCCGCAGACCTGCCCCTGGCGAGTGTTGGGGAGGTGCGTGCGGCAGGCATGTGTCTGGCAAGTGTAGGGGAGGTGCGTCCCGCAGACCTGCCCCTGGCGAGTGTAGGGGAGGTGCGTCCCGCAGACGTGCGTCCCCCAGAAAATCAACAGAAAAGACACGTACAACAGAGATGTCATGGAGCCACAACTGGGTGTGTGGACACTGCACGCGGTAGCCCATGATCCACTTGAGTTTTAAAATCTTGGTTTCTGACAATTCGAATGCCTTTAAAAAAACAGAGCTCATAGATGATGTGGAAGAGCTTGTGTACTTCTGGAACAGTAAAAGCAAGAACTTCCCACAATACATTCTGCCATAAAGATAGTAAAGACCCTGGCAAAGTTGTCAAAACCAACTTTTTCAAAACTGGAAATTAGCCAAAGGCTTGCAAGGCTCCAAGGCACACTTCTTCAGGGAAAGGGCTGATCTTGGTAAAGCCAGTGAGCTCTTGGGCTGCTGCGGTGGCCCTGGCCCCCTCCCAGCCCCCGCCCCCACAGTGGTTTCAAGTGAAACCAACCACAGTACCTATAAAAAAACACCAGCTCAGCAGCTGTGTTACTGGCTTGTGTATTGGTCAGGTTTATGTTGTCATAACGAAATACCCAAAGCTTGGTACTTTATAAAGAGAAGTTCAGCTAACAGGTTTAGAGACTGAAAATCCAAGGCCAGCTGGCTCCACCTGTTTGACCTCTTAGAGACCTGGGAGCCCTCTAGACTGCACCGTGACACGGTAGGGAACCGTGCGGCACAGGCCAGGCGCACAGAGCGGCCTTGCTCTGTACCCACCTCTGTCGCATGAGCTAATCCACGGTGGAAGACCAGCATTCACCCCAACAGCCTAACACCCCCACTAGGCCACACCTCAGCACTGCCACCACGGTGCCCAAGCTGCCAGCACAGGAAACTTAGGGGACATCCTGGAGCCACAGCCAAAGCACAGCCACTTGTCAGAAGACAGCTCCCAGAAGCACCCACTAGCAAAGTCCTTCCAATGTTTTCTGCAGCAAATTTTAAGACCTACCTCTCCCCTACCTCAAACAACGAAGTCTCCCCATGAATCCTCATATGACTAGTTGGTGTTTAATGAAAGTATCAGAACAATTGAAGGAGCAACAGTCTCTCCAACAAGGCCTCCGAAACAACTGGGTGTCCACACGGAAAAGGATGAAGCTAGACCGCTACCTTCCAGTGTACACAAATGACTCAAAATGCGTGAACACCTAGGGACAATAGCTAACACTGTAAAACTGTCACCTCTTAGGACAGCATGCCAAAAGCCAGAGGACTTCTATCTGGATTGAGTGGGCAGCTCAGTGAAGTTACCAGAGACCCAGAGCGGTTCCTACTTCCTACTCTGACCTCGTCACACTTGCCCTAGGTTGTCTCACCTTGTGGTCATGAGGTGGCTCAGGCAACACTCAGCAGAGAAATCAGCTCCTCCTCCTCCTCCTCCTCCTCCTCCTCCTCCTCCTCCTCCTCTTCCTTCCTCCTCCTTTTCTTCCCCTCACGCCCTCCCCCCTCCTCCTCCTCTTTCTCTCCTGCCCTCTTCCCACCTCCTCCTCCTCTTCCCCTCCTGTCCTCCCCTCCTCCTCTTCCTCTTCTTCACCTCCTGACCTCCCCTCCTCCCCCTCCTCCTCCACCTCCTCCTCTCACACCTCTTTTTCCTCACAAGCCCCAGCAACCCTCTCTTCACATCCCACCTTCACAGTTGCCTCAAGCTAGGCTCTAAACTCCAGAATGGCAAGAGGTATGGAGTTCTGTGAGCCACTGAGGCAGACCATCTGTGGCAGGCGGTTTCCAGGGGTGGGATGCTAGCTACCACCATATTGTCCCTCACATTCTGGCAGGAGAAAATGGCAGTAAATCAGAGAAAAAGGCAAGACTAGGGAGGGGGATACCTAGGTCAGCAGGTCAACCAAGCGCTCATAACCTGAACTGGAACAATGCAGAACAAAGTATTGGGACCTTCATTGCTTCAGCGCACACCGACGAGCCCAGCACTCAATCCGGCTGGACAACCAAGATCTGACCTCTCCTGTCCCTTATCTCTAACTCCCATGCTGCTCAGCAACAGTGGCTATAGCTTTAAATATAGTTCTTTAGTTCATTTGATGAACAAAAATATTTTCAAAATGTTCATATATTTTAAGATTTTTGTGTGTTCATCTGACACAACTGTGTAATGGACTCACAACATGAAAAACGAAGCACACGGAGTTTACTTAGGAAAAGAATGAAGCTGTTCCCAGTAGAAACCCTGCAGTCTACGCCAGGCGACTCTCCACACCATTCCATTTGTATAGCTCTCTTGTGTCCTAAGACACGCAGGTCTCAGAGGAATCTTAGCACTCGCTGAGGGCTTAACGTCCTTTCGAGAAGAGCTCTGTCTTCAGTTAGTGTGGTTGTGGTCCATTCACACCTCTGGCACCTCATGGGTCGTGGGCACCTGCCCCGGCTAGAGCCCCAGGACAGAGTCAGGGCCGCTTTCTCAGCAAGGTTTCTTTCTGGTCGTGTTCTAGGCTAATACATGTGTCAGCGGGTGTTGGCTCAGTGGCTCAGTACATAGCTGTTCTGTCACAGATAATAACAGTCATCTCTCCCCACCCCCAGGTCGCTCAACTCTCCCTGAAGCCTCAGTGTCAGAATCTTTAACTTCAGAGAGTTCAAAAGAATAGTATGACTCCAGACCAAGCCCAAAGATTGTGGATCAATGAAGAACTCTGTAATTTTTTTCAAGAAGTCTTGTAGAAAATGCATTCTAATGAAATCTTCCCCAGTTCTCTCTTTCCCGGGTCTTCAATAAAGCACACAATTGGATCGCAAGCTTGCCCCTTTCTTTCTAAAAGCCTCTGTGGGTCAGCAAACGCCAACAAGGTTTTCTGTACCCGAGGTCTGAGCTGAATGCCAACTTTGTCTCAGGTTGGAGGAGATGGGCGTGAGCAGGGGGATCCCTTGATCTGATTTGAAAGTAGGCATGACGTTGGCGTAGCGAGGTCATGACTTGCAGCTTCTCTGTGCTTTGGTTTCTTCACCAATAAAACTCAAATCCCAAGGCCTATGGGGCCGGGGAGATGGCTCAGTGGAATAAGCGCTTCCCTGTCAAGAGCAAGGGCCTGAGTTCAGTCCCTGGTTCCATTAAAAAAAAAAAAAAAAAAAAAAAGCACCACAGCAACTCAATCCCAGTCCTTGGCCCGTAGAGTGAGCTGGGGGGTGAAATGGTAGCGCGTCGTTAAAAGAGCGCAGCAGAAGAGCTCCTCACTCCTCCTCACGCCTCACTAAACTGCACCGTTTACTATAACCGGCACTCCTCAGCACACCAGTAGCGGGATGCCAAAAGCCAAATACAGTGTTTCTCTTTGCTGACTAGAGCCTGCCTCTGAAAGCGGAAAATGTAGCTGATATTTTTAAGTCCAGGGAGACTCACAAAGGGGCTGTTTTACATTTAATTATGCTCCTCAGAAAAAACTTCAAAGTCTTTACTCCCTGTACTCCAGAATCACGTCTTTACAGATGGAATCGAATGACCATCCTTAGGACAGGAGCTATTACAACTAAGAACCTGCTGTGACCCGTGTCCTCAAGAGGACATTTGAATGTCCCCTATGTACAACCACGCAGAGACGACACCATGTGGGGAGGGAGGGTTGGAGCAACACATCTACAGCCAAGAAATTCCTGAAATCGCCAGGAGTCACAAGAACCTGGGGAGAGGCCTTCGGGTTAGCTCAGTTGTTTAAGCACCTGCTCTGGCAAAACCAGTCATACTCAGGGGACCTCCACCTGCCTTAGCAGACCCGCCCTTAGGCAGCCTGAACCAACAACAACAACAACAATTCTTCTCATCTTTGGGCTGGGGACATAGCTCAGTGGCATAAGAACCTGCCTCACAAGTGTAAGGTTCCAGGGCTGGTGAGATGGCTCAGTGGTCTAAAGCACCTACTTAGAACAAGCTTAAGCTAAGCAAAGCACAGGGACCGCGGTTCAATCCCCCAGCACCACATGCCAGCCAGCCCCGCCCCCTGGTGGGCTGAGCTGACCACACACACACTCTAAATAAATAAATAAATAAAAATTTAAAAAAAAAAAAAAACAAGTGTAAGGTTCTGAGTTCTATCCCCAGTACAATAAATAAATAAATAAACAAACTAGACAAAACCTGGGGAGAGGTGAGGACACTTCTACCACCCCTAGAGGGTGGACTCCAGGCTGCGAGTGCCTTCGCAGTGAGGCCCAGTGTCCATGCAGGCCCCTCTCCCCGGGAGGCACTGGGTTTGCCCACTCCTGAGGGACAGGTGTGGTGAAGGGAGGTACATAAGTTGACTTTTGAACCTAAAGGTGTTGGAAGGATATTAAGGTAATGTAATTTATTAACTTGGACGAAATGCATCCATTCCTCAAAAGATGAAATGCCAAAAACTGACACAAGAAGAAAAAATCTGAACAGCCATAGAGCTGGTTTACAAAGACAGAGAATCTGCAATTGACAACTTGGGGCCGCAGGCTTTAGCAGTAAGTCCTGTCCCACACTTAGAGAGCCGGAAGAAAGGCTTTCGAAGTCGCCACACATGATGTGTCTCAGGGAACAGACGCAGTTAATCTGATTTAACACTGCACGGTGTATACATGTATTCAAACATCATGTTACCTCAGAAATATGCAAATTTAATAATGTTATATACCGCCTAAACCTAACTGATAATAAAAAATATATTTGTACTATATTTTTCTTACAGCTTATACTCTTGCCAACCGCACAACAGCGTGAATGTACTTAATGCCACTTCAAAATGATTAAAGTGATAAATTTTTATACTATGTGTATGTTACCACAATAAAAATGTATGGGTAGAGCCGGGTGTGGTGATGCACACCTGTAATCCCTGCAGTGGGGAGGCTGAGGGTGAGTGTGAGGCCAGCCTGAACCATAAAATGAGTTCAAGGCCAGCCTGAGCTACATAGGTAGACTTTGTCTCAACGAACAAGAGAGAAGAAAAAAAAATTATATATATATAGAGAGAGAGAGAGTTGAAAAGAAATATACAGAATTGAGTGCAGTAAAAATTATCTGGGCCTGCAAAGAGCAAGACGGGGGTGGGCTCATTGATGGAAGAATGTTGGTGTCTTCTGCGCAGTGGCAGGGATTTTCCAGGAACGCAGGGCCACCTCTTTTTGCTTGTTGCAGTTCTTTCGGGTCCCGATCAAGGCGGTCACCAGCTGTCATGGCACCAGGAGCTTTGTGACTCAGCGTGCAGATGGGACTGTCACGGAGGCCAAGGCCGTCTGGCAGCCACCCCAGCAGTCACCGTAGATGGCGCTGGCGCTGCCCGCCCACCTGAGCAAGAAGCCCGTCACTGCTGGACTGGACAGGGCCCGCCGCGAAGCACTCGGAGGGAGGACCTGCCTCGCTCAGCCCACCGCGTCTGGTGCCCTTCTCACCTGAGAACACCCTCAGGACATGGCCGGGACGATAGTCACCCTGGCACACTTTTCCCAGATCCAGGTGTGGCTTACCCATGCCAGGGCTATTTCTCTCTAGGTCAGCAGGAAGAAATAATCCACCTATTGCCTTCCCAAAGAGAACTTGGAGGAACAGCGGGTTCTCTGCACGGGCCGAGGCGCCACAGGAGGGCCTGACAGCCAGCTGAGGGGTGGGAAGGGCTAAAGCAGACACAGGGCCTCCCGGTCTACTCCAGGCCTTGGAGCCGCGCGTGCTCTTATTCCTTGGCAGTTATTTCAGAAACCACTTGGGGGACATCTTAATTGTGTTCCTCAAAAGCAGACGCTCACACGAGGATGTGTTTATGAACAATTTTGGTGGGACGTGGTCCCAGGATTTACCAAGCCCCAAAAGATGGAAAAGTGGTCCAGAAGCTGGGGGAGGCCGAGACAGTGCGTGTCAGAAGGCGCTGGGGCTCAGTTCTATGGAAAGTAACGCACACTTCAGACTCATTCCTCCTGGAGAGACAAGGGACCCAGGGTGGCTGTCAAGCCTGGCCTCCTCCTGTTTGTTAAGGAATTGCTGGAAGATTGGTTTTCTTGAGCCTTTGGCCGGTCCCACACCCAAATGTCCTCAGGAAGGGGAGATCCTCTCTAGGTGGGAAGTATCTGGGTTGTTTTTTTTTTTCCCTCTTTCTGTCTTTTCCTTTCCTTTCTTTTCTTTTCAACAGTCTCACTATGCAGTTCACGCTGCCCTTGAACCCACTGAGTAGCTCGGGCTGGCTTTGAATTCCAGGCAATCCTCCTGCCTCAGCCTTCGAAATGCTGGGCTTACAAGCATGTGCCACCACAACCCGTTTAGGAGGAAATTTTCTGCAGGAATGGAAATCGTCTCGAGGTGACCTCCAGAGTGGACCAAGGCAGCGCAGCTTGGTCTCCAACCACACCTCGTCTGGTGACTCGGACCTGATTCTTCCCTTCAGTGAGGCCTCTGGTCCTGCCTAGGCAGCCCCCCTGTCTCCAGGCATTCACTAAAAGGTGCTAAAGCCCACCCTCCACAGAGGCTGGTGAAATGTGGGCCAGGAGATGCATGTGAGCTGGAGCTCAGGTGCCTGCAGATCCCGGTTCAAATGTCTCTCACTACATCTTTCTGTACAAGTTTGTTTGTGTCATTCATCTTTTCAAAAACCCAGCAAGCTTTTCTATGGAATGCCAAAGACCATTTGGAAAAGCAAATATGCAAATATCCAGAGAAATCATGTGAAAGAAAAAACTAAAGGGAGGTCTACCCTGCCAAATATTGAGCTATAAAGTCTCTACATTTAAGACATTATTGAAACAGCACATTGGGCTGGGGAGATGGCTCAGTGGAATAAGTGCTTGCCTGGCAAGCACAAGGGCCTCAGTTCAATCCCCAGTTCTGGGGAAAAAAAAAAAAAAAAAGAATGAGGTTTGGCTATCCCTTCCCCCCACCCCCTCCCCTTTTTGAAACAGAGTCTTGCTACACAGCTTGGGCTGGCCTTCAGCTTACTTTGTGGCCCAGGCTGGTCTTGAACTCATGGCGATCCTCCTGCCTCAGCCTCTCGGGTGCTGGGATGACAGATGTGCCACCAGGACCAGCATCATCGCTCTTCCCATATCCCTTTCAATGTTGCCCGGAGTTAGCTGTGCCCAAAACGCACCCTCTCTGTCTGCTCCACAGCTGCGCCCTCCTCCACACCCACCATGGTGGTAACTAATGTGCCCTGTGCTGACCGTCCCACAGGATGACAGCCCTGCGTCGCCCCACTTGGCAGGTCAGCAAGCACTTCCTTAATGCCACTGATGTGCAAGACGCAAGCCAGCACGTGGACTCTGCCAGCCTGTGTTGCGAGTGTCGCGCGTGGTGTGTGTCACGCACGTGTGGGGCGCCCTCCTGTAGGTGGCTTCTGTTTTCTATGGGCTGTAGCTTAGCAGCAGACCATCCCGACGTAAGTCTCACGCCTCTTGCTGTCCTCCACCCTTTTCTTGCTGCCGCGCAGGGGTTGGTGTCAAGCGCCTGAGCTCTTCCACTCCAACACCTCAGTTCCTCTCTCTCCCGTGGCGGTCACGTCATGCTGCCTTCCACCGCAGCCCGGGACATCGTCTCCAAGAGCTCACGTCATTCCAGGCTCTCCACGGGCGCCACGCACCAGCAGGCACCATTAAACACTTGTCGAACAGAACTGGATTTAATTGGCTCCCTGAGCAGACAGGAAGCAAACGCTGGAAGCTGAGCTCCCAGCAGCTGGTGGCCTGGCCTGGACCCAGGAGCCAGAGGAGAGGCCGGAGGACTTGGCCCCTGACGCCT